GTTTGTGTTCTCTGATTTCATTACCAGAAATCAACTGCTGGACGTGCCCCTCCAAGGGGCTCGCTTTATTTGGTCGAACCACTCGCAAGACCTCTCTGTCCAAACATGACTGGTACCTCCTCTCACTCGAGTGGGACTCTTCTTTCCCCAACTCACACTCTGTGGCCCTCCCCAAGCCTATATCCGATCACAGTCCCATACTTCTCAACACGACTGCCCTGGGCTGAGGTCCCAAACCCTTCCGTTTAGACCTTTCTTGTTTGGAGGAGCCCCATTTCCCTTCCCTCATTGCCTTGTTGTGGCATTCTTTCGCCCCTATTGTTCAAGGATGGCCTGGTTTCCGCCTCCAATGTAAGCTACATCTTTTAAAACTCACCCTCAAGGACTGGAGCAGAAATCTCCCGAGGAATTTCCTCGCCCAAAAGCAACCCCTTCTTGCCATTATTCTACGCCTTGATACCCTTGAGGAATCTGCAACCTTCTCCCTTGCCAACCAAAATGTGCATCATGAAGCCAAGTTAGCACTCCACTCTATCCTTCATAAGGAGGAAATCTTTTGGGGGCAGCGGTCTCGGGTCAAGTGGTTAAAACTGGGAGATCATAATACCACGCGACAATACCATTTCCCTCATCAAAGTTGGCAATCAGCATTTCGATGACCCACAACTCATTGAGCAAGCCTTCATCGACTTCTTCCAAAACCTTTAGAAGGCGCACGATGGCCCAAGGCCCTTGATGTCCTCCCTCAGCTTCAGTGTTGTCCCACCTGACAGAGCAGTTTGGCTAGAAGCCTAGAATGACCCTTCGACGCATCAAAAATCTTTGACGCAGTTAAGTCCTTAGGCCATGATAGAGCCCTTGGCCCTGACGGTTTGCCCATTGCTCTCTGTCACCAATTCTGGGACACTCTTAAGGCTGATGTGGTTGCCTTTTTTGCTGATTTCCACTCTAGTAGTGTGGTCAACAAGACCATGAACGGTACCTTGTTGGCATTAATCCCTAAAATTGAAGGAGTGGTGGAATTAAAATACTTTAGGCCCATTAACCTACTCAATAGCTCCAGATAAGATCCTTTCCAAGGACTTAACTTCCAGAATCCGAGAGGTACTGGGTTGGGTGATCACCCCCAGTCAAGGGGCTTTTGTCAAAGATTGCCAAATCCTCGACGGTGCTCTTATTGCGCACGAATGTCTTCATACCCATCATTTGGCCAAAACACCGGGCTTGGTCATTAAGTTGGATTGCGATAAGGCATACGACCACGTCAATTGGGATATTCTCGATGAGACGCTACACCGCATGGGTTTTGGCACTCGATGGCATAGGTGGATGAGAGGGTGCATTTCCTCACCTACTTTCTCGGTCATCATTAACGGCACACCCAAGGGCTTGTTCCAAGCTTCAAGGGCCTGAGGCAAGGTGATCCCCTTTTACCTTTCCTTTTCTCTATTGCTGCTGAAGTCTTCAGGGCTTCCCTCTTGATTTTGTATCATGTTGGCTTAGTCAGGGGCTTCCAAGCAAGTCTCGAGGGACCTTCGGCCTCCCATCTTTTTTGTGATGCCATCCCAAAACAAGTTCACTATCTTCGCATCTTTCTCAGAAGCTTCCAATGGGCAACAGGCTTCAAAGTTAACCTCGCCAAGACCGGTATAATGGGGGTGGCCATGAGCTTGGAGTCGGTGTCCAGTTTTACTAGTCTTTGGGGTTGTAAAGCTCAACCTTTGCTTGCCTCTTATTTAGGTTTGCCCCTGTGTATCGGGAAGCCTAAAGTTAGCCAGTGGTCCCACATTATCGATAAGTTTAACAAGAGATTCACATGATGGAAAGGCAGATTCCTCTCCGCTGCGGGCAGACTCAACCTAATCAACGCGACTCTCTCTAGCACCCCAATTTACCAAATGCCCCTTTTCCCGATCCTGGTTTCTGTGGCTAATCGGCTGGAACAACTCATGAGAAATTTCCTCTGGTTAGGTACTGAAGGAAGGAAATTTCATCTTATTGCATGGGAGACTGTGTGCAATCCGAAATCCCTTGGAGGCCTGAGCATCCGCAAAATTAGGAAGACCAATGTTGCCCTCATTGGTAAGTGGTGGTGGAGGTTCGCATCCCATAGGGATCACCTCTAACAAGAGGTGGCTCGTCTCAAAGACCAGTGCCCCCGAGGCTTGGTTCCCTAACTCCAAGGTCCCCTACAATGCCTCAAGTATTTGGAAGGGCCTCCATTCTTGACCTCACCGCTTCCTCTCTCACATTCACTTGCGTCCTAGAGAGGGCAGCCGTATTGCTTTTTGGTCGGACATTTGGCTAGGCCATAGCCCTCTTAGGGACTCTTTCCCCGCCCTTTACTGGTTGGCAAGCAACCCGTCATCCACCATAGCTGAGAATTTCGAACCCTCTCCCCGAGGAAGGGTCTGGTCCCCTATGTTCAGAAGGCCCCTTAAGGATTCCAACTTGCCAAGATTTATCGAATTGCAAACCCTGCTCCACAACTTCTTTCTCCCTTCTTCGAGTCTTGTTGAGGTGGTCTGGAGCCTCTCCCCTTCAGGAGTGTTCTCTGTTGCTTCTTTTTATAAGGCACTCCTCCTGACAACCCAATCCCCCCCCTCCCCCTCTACTTCCCATGTTGCAGCTAAGGCCTGGGATTCTCCGGGCCCCCCAAAAATTCTCTTCTTTATTTGGGTGGCCACACATGAAAGAGCCTTAACTGTGGACCATCTCCAAAGAAGGGGCATAGAACTCCCCAACAGGTGCATCATGTGTCAAAATGAAGCCGAAACCAATGCTCACCTCTTTCTGCATTGTGAGATCGCGTCATTTCTCTGGAACTCAATTCTCCTACTATTCGACTGATTCTGGGCCACCCCTTAATCTATATCACAGCTTTTCTCATCCTACCTCTCAACCCCGTGAGCTAGATCCGGCATCCTTCTTTGGAAAGCTTCTATTGCAGCCATACTCCAGACTTTGCGGTTGGAAAGGAATCAAAGAATCTTTAGGGAAGAGTACTCTAATCTCATCACGTTGCTGGAAAAGGTGAGATCCTCGGCCATCTTTTGGGCAACCAACTCTAAATCTTTCAAGCATGTCTCTGTGGCAGACTTCCACCAAAATTGAAAAGCTTTGCTTCACTTAAGGCCTTATCAAATTCCTAGAGTAGCCTCTTGGTCCCTTCCCTCTCCATGGTGCACTAAGCTTAATTTCGATGGCTGTTCCCTAGGCAATCCTAAACCCTCTAGTGTAGGTGGTATCTATCGCGATCACGCTGGTAGCACCCTCCTCTCATTCGCGCATCCCACTGGTAGCTCAGAGTCCACCAAGGCCGAGGCAATGGCCCTCCTTCATGGCCTTCGACACTTCAATAGGGCATGGGTGAACTCTTTGGTGATCGAAGGAGATTCCGCCAATGTTATTGCATGGGCTTCTAGTTCAGCCCAGTGCCCTTATAGGTCGATCCCGTTTTTGACAAGATCCACCACAGGTGCTCCCCCACAGATTTCTTGGAGGCATACTTGGAGAGAGGCCAACTCCATCGCTAACTCCTTAGCCAAAACTGGGGCCCTGGTCTCAATATTGTGGATATTCCATCCTAGATCCTCTAGATTCCTCTTGCTCTTTTAGTAGTATTGTTCTTTTGTAGCCGTATAATGGGTATAAATTCTGTACCCCTGTAAAGGGTGTTACTCTCCTTCACCCACTTTGTGGGTGGGCAAACTTTGTACTATTCTCTTTAGCTTTCTATACAAGAAGTAAACATTCTCAAAAAAAAGAAAAAAAAGTGAATCTCTCATGCGTTTTTTGATAAATTTCACATTAAAGTTATTTGATATATCTATAGAGAGGGTTGGCTACTGGTTCAATGTATTTTGGAATCAGTCTTAGATCAGCGGGAAAAGAAAAGGAAAAAGAAATAAACATTGGTAATGTTATTTCATGGGTTATCTCAGAAGGCCCCTCACCCATGGCGAATAACTTGAGGTCTAAACTTGTTTGACGTATCTACAAAGAGGATTGGCTCCTACTTCAGCACATTTTGGAGTCGATAGATTCTCACTCCCAGATCAGCAGGAGAACGAAAGAAATAAGAGGACATTGGTGAAATAATTTCATGGGTGTCCCAAAAGGCACCTCACCCAAGGCGAATGGCACCCATCTTGGAAGAGATTTTCAGCCAGTTTTCACAGCTCAATATTTCTTTCAACCACATATGGCACAAGTCCAATGAATTGGACAACTCTTTAGCTTGAGACAGGGTCTCTAAAACTTCTCTCTTTATCATTGACAAACCAGACAACCAAATCACCTTCCCCTTCCCCCTCCCTCCCGCCACTCACAGTTCTTTGAATTTTATATTTCCTGAGTTCATATTTTTGAGAATTACGTTCTTATACTTGTAAGTTTTCACACATATATGAGCTTTAGACATCGTTAACCATAAATAAAAAGCAGAGGGAGAGAGATATATATCAATTAAGCCAACTAGAAAGCTTGCCAGAGAGGGTCCAAATTCCAAAACACAGAGAGAGTTCCCAATAAACCATACAAGCAACAACCTGAATATATGCAGCAATAGTTTTGATGGCTGTCTGACTAAGAGAAAAAGCATATAAGCATTATATGTAACTACTTGATAAAACGTTTCCCGTATTCCATAAATTTACAAGCTGAATATGTGTACCAATGCTTTAACTTCTAATATTGGTAAAGCTTCCAATATACCACAGATCAGGTGACACTGAGCTTCTAATATACAAAATTACCAGCTGAATATATACAGTAATATACTTAACTAATTGGTAAAGCTTTGGATATTGGTAAAGCCTCCAATATATCATAGAGTGTCAGCAGAGCTTCAAATAGACCATAGGTGTAAAAGCTGAATATATACAGAAATCCATTTAATTACTTGGTAAAGCTTCCAATAGACCATAAATGTATAAGCTGAATATATGCAGCAACGCATTTAACTAGTTAAAAAGTTTTTAACGAAAAAATGAACTAACCATTATCCCATATGGATGTCCCTTGTATGTTGCATCTTCAAAGAGAGAAGAATAGTAAACTGGATCATATATAGATCCTCCTAATATATGCTCGTCGTCAGAGTCCTGTCTAACTGCTGTATGTATTGGTGGGTTCAAAAAGCTATTCCTTACATCGTAATCTGCCTCTCGATAAACTGAATTGTCTCCATTTGAAACTCCCATTCTGTACATTTGGATCCATAATAACGAGGACATCAACCTCATTGAAAATCCCACAATTTGCATCCAGAAGGATACTCTCACTGAAAAGATAAAACAATGTCCATACTTTTCAGCAGAGATGTTCCTGTATTGAAATATAAGGATTAAATGGTTAGCAATGCACTCATTTCTACCTCAGATACATAATTATTAGTCAATTGTATGGCAAGAACACATAAAATGGCAATGTTCACAGATTTCGTCCGTTAGTACCTTCCTAGTTTCACCAAGTCAAATAGATTGACAAACCATGCAAATGCAAACATGATAACCTTAATGAAGCATAGAAACCTATTTAGGGTTTGCGGGAACCTATAGAATAAAATTAGGGCTAGGCTTGAGGGTTTATTTCTCTCTTGGTTGGTTGTACCACCTTTCTTCTACAAAATACAGCAAACCCCTAATCACACACCACCTTTTCTTTTTCTCCCATGGCTAACGTCACAAGTTGAGAAGCAAGAAGGGAGGGTGGCGTGCCAAAAAAATAAGAGAGAGAAAATTAGGTGGAGGAGAGAGAGAGAGATTTTTGCCATCGATTTGAGAGAGGTTCCAGTAGCTTTATATAGAAAAAAATGTTTCTCCCACTTCGAATAGGATTCCTTCTAAGTATGACTTATCTAATTTACCCAGCTTGACAAATAGGATATTAGGAAATCTATGGGGTGAGAGAGATTAAATATGTGTCATCCATCCCACAAATCAGCCATCATAATTTTGGGTAGAAATTAGAAACCTTTTTTTTTTTGTATGTTTAGAAATTAGGAGCCTTATCCCTTATAATTTGACCCAAGTCCAATTTCTATTTAAATTATAATTATAACCAAATCCAAAACTTCCTAATATCTTTCCAAAATCTGTAGGAAGTCAAAATAATTAGAGTTGTGGTCAAACTAAACTCTTAATTAAAATTTAATATTTAAAAGATTCCCCTAAAATAGTCTCTAAAAAAAAGATCATATAAATGAAACAATGGGGGAGTGAACCAAGCAGACTAAAAGGTCCCCACAATGGTCCACGTCCCACCCATGGGTGGCACACATGTGGGGCAGGATCTTGGGCCCCACATCTGCATTTCCAAATTTCAAAATTTTCAAAAAAAGCCCTTTTAAAGGATTTTATAGCAGAAATAAATTTTTAAAGTTCTGAAAAATTGGAAAGATCACAAAAACATTTCTAACATCAAAAATAAAATAAGTAGAAGTGATTGATACCAATGGATCAAAATTAACAACAACAATGGCACCCCACTTGACCCAATAACCATGATCCACTATTGGTTTTTTATCCAATCCAACAAAGACCCATGACCCACAGTCGCAATGCAAGGGTTCATGATTGGCTCATCAAAGTTGGTCAATAATCAGTGGAAACATGATCCTAGAAAGTAAATTTCAGTCCCTCTTTAAGAGCAAGTTTAGCACTTATCACTACATGTCCCTCTATAGGGATACTTCCCAGTAATGCAGTTGTCATATGTACATGTCTTGCGAAAATTTGTTGGGGTTTTGACCTTTGCTCTCACAAGCCTATAACTGCAAATAGGAGACCACACAATTCTTCTGGCCTACAAACATCATCTGTGAGCATCATTTCGACCTCAACAAGGGATGACCAACTGTAAACCCTTATCGGTAGTGCTACATGCCTAGGAGTAAGGGTTTTGGATATAACCAATGCCATAAACCGCCAACCCATAGTCAGTTAACACAAACATTCCCACTGAAGTGCATATTCCACTGTAAAGTATTATTTTTACACGCTCTCTAGGCCTTTAAAGGCCACAAAACCCAACAGAGCATTGATTCAAAAGTGATCCGCCTGGCACCTAGGTGGGATGGGGGACCTGGGAGGACCAACTAGGTGGGCTATTACTAAGAGCCTGCTTAGGGACCCTAGGCGGGTGCCTGCTTAGGGACCCTAGGCGATCGCCTTGGGTACCTAGGTAGGCGCCCAAGGGACTGCGCCCGACTGAGTGAAAAAATACCATCGAGCGAGGTATATTTGGTGTTCTTTTTTGTTTGGATTATAAAAAATGCATGAATATGCATATTTTGTACAAATATGCATATTTGCCCCCTTTTGAACCTAGTCTGCCCAGGTTTTGAGCAGCTGCCTAGGCGCCCACATAGTCGTTGGGCGGCCTAGACCCCCCCGGTCCCCCTAAGTGCCGCTCGTCGTTTTTTGAAACACTGGCAGAGAGACTACATATAAAGGTAAAGAGAGAAATAAAGAGCTTTAAAATAGGAGACCTCCTTTTGAGTTTCAAAGTGAGATTATATTAAATATGTGAGTAATTATGGATAGATAGATTAATATAGAGAGTTGGACAATTCCAAGAAATATATAAGGGCAAAATGGGGAAAAAATAAAAAATAGTAAGGCAAAATTGGAAAAGAAAAGGATATATGTCAATAAAATAAAGGGGGACCTCCTCTTGCTTAATATATACAATTCGAAGAAATATAAGGGCAAAATGGGGAAAAATAAAAATTAGTAGGGCAAAATTGAAAGAAAAAAAAAAAGGATATATGTCCATAAAATAAGACCTCTTCTTGCTTAATATATACTAATAGAT